GGTTCAAACCCACCAGCCACTCCTCAGAAGGAAGGTTGGGCAATCTACTTCCGTAGTGATACCACCTCGGAAACCCAAGGAGGGGTCACTATGAGTTGAAATTGACTCAATGGCAGTGAGTTTGGTTTTGCTTTTGTTTAGTAGGGGTGAGGGAGCTCTAGTGGCATAGTGCCTAAGGCATTTGACTGCTAACAGTAAGACTAGCAGTTCAAACCCACTAGTCACTCCTTGGAAGGAAGATTGGGCAATCTACTTCTGTAGTGATGCCATCTTGGAAGCCCAAGGAGGGGGTGCTGTGAGTCAGATCCGAATCGACAGCAGTGAGTTTGGTTTTTGAGTAGCAGGGGTAAAGTAGTATCTCATTGTGGTTTTGATTTGCATCTACCTAATGACTGATGGGAACCCTGGTGTTGCAGTGGTTAAAGTGCTTGGCTGCTAACTGAATTGTTGGCAGTTTGAACCCACCACCTGCTCCACCAAAGAAAGAAGTGGCTTCTGTAAAGATTTACATAAAGATTTGGAAACCCTGTGAGCCAGGTCTCCTCTGTCCTATAGGGTTATGAGTTGGAATCGACTCAGTGACAGTGGGTTTTGATGGCAATGACTAATGATGCTGAACATCTTTTCATGCTTGTTTGCTATTTGTGTATCTTTTTTGGAGAGCCATCTGGTTCCTCTTTATAGTTCCTATTTCCCTGCTGAGATTTTTATTCTTTTTTCCATTGATTACAGCATATATCTCTTTACATCTTGAAGCTGTTATAATAACTGCTTCAAAGTCCTTGTGTGCCAATTCTAACATATGGGTCTTTCTTGGTTGTCTTTTTTCTTAAGTGTGGGTGACATTTGCATGTTTCCTTGTATGTCACATAATTTTGGATTGTATCCTGGTGGTTATGAATGATACATTGTACAACCTCTGGCTGAACTAACTGTAACCTCTATCTCCTCTGCAATAGGAAGCTGCAAAAATTTCTGTTCAAAAAGGGTAGTATTTGCACAGGGAGGTAGCTCAGGGGGCAGGAATGCGTAGGAAAGAAGGACTCAGGGAAGAGGTAACTACAGAGAGGAAGTGGGAAGAGAACTGTTACATTGTGGGGAATTGTAGCCAATGTCATGAAACAAAGTATATAAACTGCAGTATGGAAAACAATTGGCTTTGTAAACTTTCATCCAAATCACAATAAAAATTAAAAAAATATATATATGTTCAATTCTTTTAGCCTTAGCTGAAATGCTAGAGTCTGTGTTGCACATGTGCGAGTCAGGAGTCAGCCAGAAATTTGGGTAAAGTTTAGATTCCAAGTCCTGGACTCCTTTCTCTTGCTCTATCTTTGATTACCTGTCAGAGAGAATGTCTTTTTATAAGATTCTCCACTATATCTCTTTCTTATTCTGAAAATTACCTGTTTGTCTCCTTTGTCCTGAACTGTTTATTTTTTATTTATGGACTCGTTTTATTTTTTAACTGTAATTGATCCATGGACTGTCCGTATATACATGGGCCAGGAACTCTTTGCCTGTTACAGATGTGAATGGGAAAGTGTGGGGGAGAACATGTGTATGTAACTCTCCTCTCTCTTTCTCTCCTTGCAGGCCAGGTGGTCCTGACTGAGGTCCGGCTCACATCAGCCCAGCAGGGGCTTTCCCCCCCAGCTTCCTGGGTAGAAACTTGCTCATGTCCCAAGGGGTACGCAGGCCAGTTCTGTGAATCTTGTGCTCCAGGATACAAGAAGGAGACACCAACGGGGGGTCCCTATTCCAACTGTGTCCCCTGCACTTGCAACCAGCATGGTACCTGTCACCCCAGTACAGGTGAGCCTCTCTAGCACCCCCACCTTTTTTTTTTTTAATTTATTTTATGTGATTTGGGTGAAAATTTACAGAGCAAGTTCATTTTCCATCCAGCAGTTCATACACATTTTGTTTCATGACATTGACTGCAATCCCCACAATGTAACAGCTTCTCACTTCCTCCCTGTAGTTAACTCTTCTCTGTGTCCTTTCCTATGCATTCCTGCCCCCTGAGCTATCGCCCTGTGCAAATACTGGCCTTCTGTTCTCCCATTATTGATCGTTCTAAGAAGTGTATCTACCTGGTATAAATGTTCACTCTATATGCCTCTCTGTTTGGCTGGAAGCCACAGGAATGAGTTCCATTCCAGGCTTCAGCACCCCCATCTTAAGGCCACCTGGGCTACATCCTGGACTGCAGGATGGGTTCTGATCTAACAGAGGCAGTGTGGCATTGGACACTGGGGTGTTTGTGAAGCTGTGGGGAAGCCCACGCATTGGACCACCCTAGAGCTGCTGCCTTGGTATCTTGTATTTCAATAAAAGTAGTAACTGGAATTTATTTAGGTATTAAGCTCTGGGCTAAGGACTTTGTGTTCAGGATCTCAAATCTTCATATGACCTTATAGCCTAAGATAGTTATTAGCATTCTGATTTTGAAGCACTTGAAGTTCAAGGAAATTACTTGTTAACCCAGCTAAGAGTGTCATGGCCAAGTGGATGGGCCCTTGCTGTGCTCCAGGCACCGGAACAGCTCGACACACAGATTCTCACTGAATCTTCACTCTGCCCTTATTGGCTACTGTGGACTTCGCCAGATGGAGTACACGGGGATCAGATTGACTACACCTGTGGCAAGAGGCAATGGAAAAGCTCAATATCTTCAGCCAAAACAAGCCCAGGAGCTGATTGTGGAACAGACATCAACTGCTCATGTGCAAGTTCAACTTGAAATTGAAGAGAATTAAAACAAGTCCACGAGAGCCAAAATATGATCTAGGATATATCCCTCCTGATTTTAGAAACCATCTAAAGAATAGATTTGATGCATTGAACACCAGTGACCGAAAACCAGAAGAACTGTGCGATGACATCAAGAACATCATCCGTGAAGAAAGCAAGAGGTCATTAAAAATATGAGAAAGAAAGAAAAGACCAAAATGGACTCTGAAACTTGCCCTCGATCGAAAAGTAGCTAAAGCAAATGGAAGAAATGACAAGATAAAAGAGCTGAACAGAAGATTTCAAAGAGCAGCTCGAGCAGACAAAGCCAATTACTATAAGGAAATGTGCAAAGACCTGGAGTTAGAAAACCGAAAGGGAAGAACACGCTTAGCATTTCTCAAGCTGAAAGAACTGA